AAATATATATTACAAGTAAAAAAAATATATATTACAAGTAAAAAAAATATATATTACAAGTTAAAAAATATATATTACAAGTTAAAAAATATATATTACAAGTTAAAAAATATATATTACAAGTTAAAAAATATATATTACAAGTAAAAAAAATATATATTACAAGTAAAAAAAAATATATTACAAGTTAAAAAATATATATTACAATTAAAAACTAGACGGTTTTCTTTCAGTTTTCTCTGTTTTGCCAACTAATTTTTTACAGGCAAAGCCAGGTGAGTTACTGGTTTTAGTTTGTCTGCTTCTGCAGAACAGTGGAAACCATTTTTAACTGTTCACACTGTGCTGAAGCATGAAGGTGTTGATTTAGGCGTGTTTTCAAAACCTGGACACCTTCCAGTCATTGAGCCCCAGACATATTCCTGAGCCAGATGTCAGGTCGTCTGGGCCTTCAGTAGTTCAAGCACCTAATCATGCTACAGGACAATTATCTAAAAGACAGCAGCACATTTACAAATATAACACAGTTGAATCTGAATGAACAGAAGATTTTTTATAAAGTGGAGTGGGCCAACATTCCTCTTCAAGAACGTGACGGTCTGTTGCGGTCACAGATATTAATGAACTCAACTTGATGCTGCTGAAAAGTGTTCTGGGCTGTGTTTAGTTTTTATTTTACACAAATGCTTCTGCATTTGGGTTCAGGTTTGTTCAAATAAATGACCCTGTGCATGATTCTGTGCACTTTTTAAACCCTAGCAACTAGATGATTTTACTATTTTAAGTAAGCAAAAGTATTGAGTGAATAAGTTCTAAGCTTATGTCTGAGTAAAACGGTTCTCCATTTTTGCAGGGCATCAGGAACAGTATTCACAGCCATAGACGTCGCCACGGGACAGGAGGTAATGAATAAAAACAGAGGAAATGTTGAAAATCTTAAGAAATGTACCAAAGCTGTGGTATTCCTCATTTGCAGGTTGCAATTAAACAGATTAATCTACAGAAGCAGCCGAAAAAGGAGCTCATCATCAATGAGATTTTGGTGATGAAGGAGCTGAAGAACCCCAACATTGTGAACTTTTTAGACAGGTGAGTTTGTCTGCGCTATGTTCTGGTGTTGACTGCATTCACCGATGCCTACTTATAATAATATGCATATTAAAAAATGGCTGTGTTTATGTCAGTTTCCTGATGGGGGAGGAGCTGTTTGTGGTGATGGAGTATCTGGCAGGTGGCTCACTGACGGATGTGGTCACAGAGACCTGCATGGATGAAGCTCAGATAGCTGCCGTCTGCCGAGAGGTGCGTTCACGTTTCAGTATAGAGTGTATGGAGCTAATCCCAGCAGCATCCCTCTTTATATTCACTGTAGAACACAACATGTTTATTCACAGCTGTTTTTGTTGTCTGCAGTGTTTACAAGCGTTGGATTTCCTCCACGCTAATCAAGTCATTCACCGAGATATCAAAAGTGACAACGTGCTGCTTGGGATGGATGGTTCTGTGAAGCTGAGTAAGTACTGTGCTGATGCTCTCTGCTACAGGCACCAGCTTGGGATTAAAACAAAAAGGAATTACTGAATATTTTCCCTCTGTATTTATTTATTTTTCTCTTTTCTTCGACAGCTGATTTTGGCTTCTGTGCCCAGATCACTCCAGAACAGAGCAAGCGTAGCACCATGGTGGGCACACCCTACTGGATGGCTCCTGAGGTGGTGACCCGAAAGGCTTACGGGCCCAAAGTAGACATTTGGTCGCTTGGTATTATGGCCATCGAGATGGTTGAAGGAGAGCCTCCTTACCTGAACGAGAACCCACTACGAGTGAGTCCCCCCTCGTATATAGTCTTGTTAATTTATTAAGGAGCAGTAAAAGTTGTCAGGCCACAACAAACTCAAAACAAAGCTCATTAAAATGTTCTGGTAAGCATTGCAACAGTTTCAGTTTTGTAAATGAGGGTTCATTTTGATGGAGATGTGAAAGGTCACAGATTACAGATGAACAGGAGCTCGTAGGTTTGAGCACCTTTCACCAGTTCTGTCCTCCCTTCACTGGCTCCCTGTGCGTGTCAGAACTAGTTTTAAAATGATCCTGTTCACCTTTAAGCGCATTAATGTCCCTGCACCCTCAGATCTCTCTGACCTACTTCAACCATACGTTCCTTCTCTGGCGCTGAGATCATCTGACCTGCTGCTTTTGGTTGTACCAAAAACCAGAGTGAAGCTCAGAGGAGATCGGACTTTTTCAGTCATGGACCCTCAACTCTGGAACAATCTGCTCCTCAACATTAGACAGACGACTTCACTTCCTGTTTTCACTGATGCTTATTTAACACAGTGTGATTTACTTTAGCGTTTCTTTGTTTTTATGTTTTTATTTTGATCTTTTATTTTTTCATTAATTACTGCCTTGATCTTATTGCGAAGCACTTTGATAACAGCTGCTGTGTTTAAATGTGCTTTATAAATAAATGTGACTTGACCGTTTTGCCCACCAGTCACCTCCTCACACCCACGGTTTTCTCTTGCCTCTACCTTGTTGGCAGGCGTTATACCTGATTGCTACAAATGGCACACCGGAGCTCCAGAATCCAGAGAAGCTGTCTCCAGTTTTCAGAGATTTCCTGAACCGCTGCCTGGAAATGGATGTAGAGAAAAGAGGCGGAGGCAAAGAGCTGCTGCAGGTAAAACGTCTTTCGTTTGCTCTTGTTTTTCCGTTTTAATAACGTTGTGTTTAAATGACATTTGCTCTCTGGTTTATTAATTTGCTCGTGTCCTCCACTTTGTGTTGATTCAGCACCCGTTCCTGAAACTGGCCAAGCCCCTCTCCAGTCTAACGCCCCTCATCCTGGCAGCCAAGGAGGCCATGAAGGGCAGTCGTTAGCCGATGAACCCAGCTACCCTGCTTTCCCATGCTGTGCACAGATACGTGCCAACCATTTTAGATTTTGTACCAGACAATAGGCTGAGAGTGGCTCACCACTCCTGATGCACCAGCCTTGTAAGCCCTGACAAACCTCACTGTGAAGAAGACCAAAAAGCTAGAGCACAACCACACCGCTGTCTATGTGAACTCTTTATTTTCTCTCAGATGTCAGAAGACGAGACAAACTGAAGTGCATAGATTCAGAGTCAGGCATAGTTTACCTTGTACATCACATCTGGTAAAAAGTTAGGGCTAGGCTTATATTTAACTTGGAATGAAGAAAATGCCTAGTTCTGATTAGTTTTTTTTTAATCAACTGCCTTAAACAGATGCAAAGTGTTGCCTAATGTATTGTTGATTGTGTCGTTCCCATGATTTTTACTACCTTTGTAATTTACCTTTTCAGCTTGTCAGTATCTTAGTTATTTTGATACTTGAATTTCATATTTGTCCCCCTTCTTGGTTTATGCATCTCATTCAACAAACCACGCCGTGCCATTTCCATGATGACCTGTGTTTCATGAACATTTCGCTTCACTGTTTTATAGGAAACATTTCAGTGCATTGATCGTGATGAATGTGTGCTGTGATCGTCATATCCGTGTCACACCTGACAGATTTACTGTATCGGTTCTCCAGTATTTTTTAGTCTCCTGACACCAGAGGACGCACCTTACAGGTGACTAAAATGTTAGATTGACAGGGTTTCTACTTTCTCCTCTGTTGCTATTAAAATTAGTCTTTTCTGTTGAGCTCTGTACTTTGTGTTTTTCCAGATGAAACTAGTGCTCTTTTTCGATGTGTAGTTTGTGTTCTTAGTATTTAATTTCAGTTCAATTAATTTTATTTATATAGCGCCAATTCACAACAGAAGTCATCTCAGAGCGCTGCACAGAAACATTCACATACATAAAAAGTCGGTTAACGTTCTTTATCTGCAGTAGTTTCCAACCCTGGTCCTTGAGGAACACTGTCCTGCATGTTTTACTTGTTTCCCTGATTTGACTCGCCTGATTTACCTGAATAGGTGATTAACTAGCTTCTGTAGAACTTGAGAAAGTAGTTGAAGCAGGAAACAATTGAAACATGCAGGATGGTGTTCCTCAGGGACCAGAAATGGGAACCACTGAGGAGATAGTTTTAAAGCAATTTTCCATGTACACACACAAAAAAAATATATATATATATATATATATATATATATATATATATATATATTGCTTTCATAATTTATATGTAAGATAGAAATAACAATCATTTTCATGAGCCTCACTTCGAGAGGAATCAAAGTAATTTTGATAAGTGCTCTTTAAAGTCGCTTTAGGCATTATCGCTATATGGCGCACTCTTATTTTGAAGTTGCTCTGGTCCGGAAGTTGTTTCTTAGGAGGAAAAAAAAGTGACTCCGGACTGTGTTTCGTAAATTTGTGATAAACTGGTAACATTTAATTTTTATAGGACGTCAGAGCGTGATGGCCATCCAGTTAAAAGACAAAGAAGCGTACCAAAGACTAAATTATCTTCACCAGGTTGGAAAATGTTGAACGCGAATATTTGCCTGCAGTCACTGTGCTAGCATGCTAACTAGCTGGCTAGCATGCTAACTAGCTGCCTAGCATGCTAACTAGCTGGCTAGCATGCTAACTAGCTGGCTAGCATGCTAACTAGGTAGCTAGCATGCTAACTAGCTGGCTAAATGGTGACGATGTGTCGTGTTTACGTCTACAGGCTGCACACTGTGTTTTAGCTCACAACCCGAGCAATGTGGAACTGGCTCGTTTCTACAGTTTCACACAGAAAACTATCGCCAGACGTTTGGTTCTCAGACAGTAAGTAGACTTTAAATCTATGACGGCAAGTTTTATTTTGAAAGCAGAATCCGAGAGTTTTGCGTCACTTTCTATTAGATTCATAAAAAAAATTTTTTTTAAATCACTCTCTTTTTGTATTCCTTTGATTACTTGTCATTTTTGTCAAAGATGACAATTATTTAAATAACTGGACAAATTGTCTAAATTAGACAAAAATCCAAGTCTTATATTTTTAAAGCTTGTTTACAAATCTCACAAAATATCAAAACAAACAGTGAAACAACTATTTTCCAAAGCTGTGTTAGTTTTGTGGTCAAGCACTGTGAATGTTATCGTCTCTTCACAAACTGAAACGATTTAGTGAAGTCTTCATAGACCAGAAAAATGATATATTTCAACTCTAACCTTTTTAAATCATGACTTTATGTTCAGTCATACACTGTCAGAGGGAGTGGGTTCTGGTAGAGACCTAAAACAAGAAAATGTGCTTTTAAAACGTCTTTGTTTGTTAAATGTTCCCGTTTTAGTTATGAATACTAATGTTGATCCCAAATTATTGAAAGTACATTAAATGTAATTCTTACAGTAAATGAAATATGAACGGTGGCGCAGCTGGTAGAGCTGCTGCCTTTCAGCGAGAAGATCGCTGGTTCAAATCCCAGCCGGAGCCCTTTCTGGGTGGAGTTTGCATGTTCTCTCCGTGCATGCGTGGGTTTTCTCCAGGTACTCCTGTTTCCTCCCACAGACCAAAAACATGCATGTTAGGCTGATTGGTAACTCTAAATTGTCTCTAGGTGTGAGTGAGAGAGTGAATGGTTGTTTGTCTCTGTGTCCCTGTGATGGACTGGAGACCTGTCCAGGGTGTCCCCTGCCTTTCACACAGTGATGGCTGGACATGAGCACCAGTGACCCCCCATGACCCAAAAGGGAAGACGCGGGTAAAAGATAATGGATGGATGAAAAAGTTCAGTTTTTTGTCCATCATTTCAGAAAGTAAACCTCATGTATTTTATGTAATTTAGTTACACCTAAAGTGAAATATTTCAAGCCTTTATTTCTTGTCATTTTGATGATTATGGCTTGCAGATAATGAAAAAACTAAATTCAGTGTCTCAGTAAATGAGAACATTCCACAGCCATCCTTTGTCAGTGTGGGCCGGTGCTGAGTCCTGCTAGAAAACGAGCTCAGCATCTCCATAAAGCTCGTCAGCAGAAGAAGCATGAAGTCTCTAAAATGTCCTGCTAGATGCTGCGTGGACTTCAGAAAACACAGTGGACCAACACCAGCAGAGGACATGGACCTAAACCATCACTGATGGTGGAAACTTTTCTCTGGACTTCAAGCAACGTGGATTCTAGACCTCCACTCATCCTCTAATCTCTGAGACCTTGGTTTACGAATGACATGAAAATTTACTTTCATGTGAAAATAGGACATTGGACCACTGAGCAACAGTCCAGTTCTTTGTCTCCTCAGCAGGTAAGACGCTTCTGATGTTGTCTCTGGTTCAGGAGTGGCTGGACTTGAAGAATGAGACATTTGTAGCTCATGTCCAGGAGTTAATCTCTTCACAATATTCCCATTTTCTGAGACACTGAATTTTGATTTTTTCATTATCAGTAAATCATATTAAAATTACAAGAAATAAAGGCTTGAAATATTTCACTCTTACATTTAATGATGCTATGTAATATAAGTTTCACTTTCTGAAGTGAAATATTAACCTCCCAAGACCCGAACTCTTGCATATGTGGATGCCACGTCCTCGGAGGTTAAACAAGAAACGAGAAGAAACATTAAACATGTTTGCAATATTCTAACTAATTTTTAGATGCACCTGTATAAAAACTCAATTTTTATTATTAATAATATTTTACTTTACTTATAAAGTGTGTTTTTCTAGTTGAAAGTTGATTATTTCCTGTTTGATGCGTTAGTTGAAACTGATCGGCCATCATCATCATCATCACACATTCCTGCTCGGCCCAGGCTTTGTATGCTCTGTGGTATCATTAATAACTAGTAATTTGTGCTTT